CCCACCACTACCTAGCAAAGAGGATCCAATGGCCCATAAAAAGCCAACTTTAAATTAAAAGGATATTTCTTCCAATGATCTGGTCAGACATGGTCTGGAATTTGTCTTGCATCTGCTGCAGGAGTGTCTGCACCTAAGAAAAACCAAAGCAAATAAACAAAATCCACACTTAATCTTGAGACACCTTCCTGGGATCGGGCTGGGAGCCCCGAGAGGAGACTGGGATCCTGGGTTCCAGCCCCAGTTCAGACTCATAGCAGCTGCGCAGTCTTCAGCAAGGAATTTCCTTCTCCGGGTTTCAGTTTTCCAGTCTACTAAGTGAGACTGATGGGCCAGGGAGGCCCCTTCCGTTTTGGGGTCGCTGCGATTCAAAGCTCCGGGGCTGTAGGTTGTCTCTGCCGCTTGGGGGCACCTGGGTCTAAGTGGGGAGCTGAAGGTGGGGGTGGTGGGTGGAGGGCTGAGGGTTGTGGGCATGGGAGCTGGCGGGGCCTGGGCGCCCACCAGGGGGCGTTTACGAGGTAGTGGGTCAGGGGAAGGGGGTCGGGCTTGGGGGAGCCAGCGGGGCGAAGGGCCGCACCGGGCGGCTATGGGGTTCAGGTGGCCGGGAGCCTCGGGGGACCAAGCCTCCAGCACCGGCCTCCAGAGACGCCGCGCGCGGTCACCGGGGGATGCCGGCCCGCGCAGCCGTCCCTTACCACCGAGGTGAGGTCCTGCATGGTCTTGGGGTCAGTCTCGGCCATCTCCCCGGTTCCCAGCTTGGCGGTGATGCCTCGAACCCGTCACCGGCACTTCCGTTTGTCCGCGCAGACGTCCCCGCTACCTCTTCTCGCGACGGCGCCGCCACTCGCGGGACCGCGAGGCATTGTGGGGGCTGTAGTCATGTCACGCACCGGAAGAGCCTAGAGGTCTCGCGCTTCCGTTCCGGGGCACGACCCCGCCCCGCTCTTCCCTCCCGCTCCCATCAGCTCCGCCCGCCTTCTGCCCTTCTGCCCCCACCTGCGGGGGAGAAAGGACACACAAACCGGAAGTGGGGCAACGGAACGCGGAAATGGGGCAACGGAACGCGGAAGTGGGGCAACGGAGCCCCGAGTGGGGCAAAGGAGCCGGGGATTGGCCCCGGCCTGGTGCACGAGCTGCAGTGGGTGGGAAGGTGGCTCTGGTTTTCTTTGTCCCGTCGGGACGAACGTATTGGGGTTCTTCCCCCCAAGCACACCCAGCATACCCTTGTGACCACCCCCAGGTCAACAAACATGACCAGCCACCAGCCCCTCCCACTCCTCGTCACCCCACACGCCCGGGGTGACCAGTGTCCTGACTTGCTGCCCGTCGGTTTCCCGCAAGGGAACTCAGGACGCTGTCTCCAGTGGTGCTTCCACTCCACGAGGCGCCGCCTGCTGTGGCGCGGGGCGGTTTCCAGCTTGGAGCGGGCAGAGTCGGAGGGTTAGGTTGGATTTGGGTGTTTAAGGAGGTGGGCACTGCTGGGTGGGGACCTCAAGTTTCAGCCGCACAGGTGGTCTGGGCTTGGGTCTCATGGCGAGGCGATAGGAGAGTCCCTGACTCAAGGCCTGGCGTGTTCCTGCACCTTTCACATGCTTACCTCACTTAAGGACCGTGGGGCGTGGAGGTCAGCCCCCGTGTGAGTTTAGCTGGAGGGGAGCCCACAGCGACTGTACCAACCCTGGCGTGAGGTTGGCCTTGGAGGCATGAGACTCCACTCCCTTCACCCACACCTCTGTCCTCACCCCCTCGCCCCCCACACCCCTCCGCACAGAGAGATCTTCCTTCCTGTGCCAAGGCTGCAAAACTTTTTACGACTGTCTGTTGTTAGCTGGTATTTGGTTAGTGCTTTAGCAGACTGCTGGAAATAAACGTGTCTCAGTGTTTTCACTTAATCCTCAGAGGACCCCTGTGACATAATTATCACCAGTTCACATTTTGAGAAAACAGACACAGAGGGGCTAAGAAACTGGAACAAGGTCATCAAATTAAGGAAGTAAGAGAGGCCGGATTTTCTGACTCCGTATCTTCTTTTCCTGTCATTCTGGAAACCCGTGAGTTTTCTGAGCTTTGAGCCGGGTTTGTCAATAGCAGCACTCTTGGCATTTGAGTAAGGTAATTGTTGTTGGGGGAGTTGGGGAGGGGGGTGCCCTGTTTATTGTGGGATGTTGAGCAGCATTTATGGCCTCCACCCACTAGATGCTGGAAGCACCCCCCTCCCTGTCTTTACCCCAGTAATGACAACCAAAAATATCTTCCAGACATTGCCAGATGTCTCCTGGGGGTCACGGTGCAGAATCACTTCCTGTTGAAAAACACTTAAAGGAATCAGTGAGCATTGCCTAGAATTCTGCGCACTTTTTTCTTCAAGCTTGGATTTATTTTTGCTACGACCATTTCTCAAGACTGTTCCCATGTGTATGTTGAAAGAGATTGAAGGTTGGAACAGTTTCCTAGAGTGGCTGTAACAATGTATCCCAAACTGAGTGACTTAAAACAACATAAATTTATTCTTTCCCAGTTCTAGAGGCCAAAAATCTGAAATCACGGTGTTGGCAGGGTTGGTTCCTTCTGTGGTACCTGTCCCATGTCTCTGCTGGCCTTTGGTGATGACCACAGGCCTTGGGGTTCCTTAGCTTGTAGAAGCATCAAACTGATCTTTGCTGCCATCTTCACACAACCTTCTCTCTCTTTCTCTCTCCCCTTGCCCCCCCTTCCTGCCTTCTCTCCCTTTAAGGACACCAGCATCCACCCTAATTCAGTATCTTAGCTAATTACATCTGCAACAACCTAGTTTCCAAATAAGGTCACATTCTGAGGTACTGAGGGTTAAGACTTCAAGGTGTCTTTTTTGGGGGAACACAATTCAACCCATCACAGTTGGTAAAGTAATTCCATCTTAAACTTGGATCACAATTATTATTTTATAAAGAGTTTTCAAAAAGCTCCAGAGTCATTTAAAAACTAGTGAGTAGCCAAGGCAAAGCTGAGCCTCAGGCTTCTGACTTGGGACCCTAATCTCACTGGGCTCTCATGCTCAGGAAGTTGGGTGCCCGCACCCTGGACAGATCATATCTGTCTTAGGGCCATGAACAACACAAGAACATGAATTAGCACCAAAGCCTGGAGGTTTTTTTTTTTTTTTTTTTTTTTTTTTGTGGCAGGAGACTTTTTTTTTTTTAACAGAAGAATCTTACTCCTTTGTGTTCCTCATATAATTTATAAATAGGACAAATTACTTCTTTATATATTTGCAATACAAACAATCATGACTGGTGATATGGGAAACTTAAAAAAGCCCATACTGTTTTCATTAAGAGTTTCCCTTTAGGAAGGACCATACCATTCCTCAACCTTTACAATCTTTCAGGTTTTTGTTGTATACACAACCACTTTGTGGTGGCAATCATATGGATTGCCAGATCAATCCAGATCAATACTGGCCTCTGGGCTTGGCACACCGCACACTGCATTTCTGAGTGGCAAGAGTTATTATCCCTGTCTTCTATAATCCATAATAAACTCTGCAAGAATTTAGGTAAGAAATAGTTTAAGTAAAATAGTGCTTCTTAAAAACTTGAGCCTATTGTATAAGTTATTTATCATTTTCTAGCTAAGCAACTGGCACAAGCTTGAAATGGTCTCTTTTCCTTTTCTCTTTCTTGTTCAAACATAGAGTAACTGAGTTTTAAAATCCTGCCAGATTTTTTATGATAACCACTGGAGATGAATAATGCAGGGCCCTACTGAAGTATTAAAATCTCATGCAAAACTCTAACAAACGTCTCATCACATCAGGCTATTTTGTTATTTTCTGTATTTTAAGTAAGTTCTAACACAGGAAAGTGGCAGTGGTTACTTTTCACTGACTTTTGCATCTGATCTCAGGAACTCAGACATAAGTCAAAAGTTCAATTCTGAGTTTTGGCAAGAGAGCAGTAACAGATATTTCTGAATTAAAAAATTCTTAAATGTTTTTAGCCATTTGAAAAGTATTGCCAACACACTATCTGGTGTTAGCTAAACAGTCACTCTGTGCTGAGAATCAAAGAACCCTAAACTCTACAAATGTCTTACTTCACCAGGTCTAACTATAACCGGAGGATTTACTGTTTAATAAAAAAATTACACAGCGACTTTTATCAAACAACAACTACTACAAAAGGAATGGTAGGAAAAAAATGACTTCACAAAAATACACTAAAAAATTTGACAATTTTTTATGCAGGAACCACCAAAGTTTTAGTGTTTAATAATTAATAGCACAACTGACCAAGGTCCAAGATGTGAAGAAACCATGTTCGAGAAACTGTGGGATAAATCACTCTATAAACTAACCATATAGTATGTGAGAAGAACACACATTATAATATAAAACCTGTCTACACATAGTAGTTAGCTGCAGAAAGCCATTCCGGTCTTCTCTTGGCTTGGAAAAATGCTGTTGCAGATTTCAGTGTAAGTTACTATCAACCTGTTGAAGAAGGAAAAATCATCAACATGTTTTTTCATGATAAGAGGACAAATAAAAATGGCACAGAGAGCTACCAATTAAAAATCCTTTTAGCATCCTCTATTGAATTAAACTTATTTCCTCTGCACAATATTCTAGCAAAAATTCTGATTTAAATAGAAATAGTCATTATAAAAATTTCTGAATCTGTTTCCTACTCACATTCTTTTCTCACAGTCTTTAAACAGGGCAATTCTTGAGAAGATGTTCTCACTTGACTGACAGGGTTTTTGACTGCCATAATCAATCCAAAAAACCAGGGAACTTCTAAGCCACAGGATATTTCAAATATCAGCAAAAAAGAACAGCAACCCACTAGGCAAATGTGATTGACTTTTCACTCACAAAGGGAACAACCACCTACTTGTTAATACAGCAATTTACATCTAAAACTCCCAGACTCTATCACAGTACGAAAACTTTCAACACCCAGAAACAGAAATTAGGTATCCTTTACTACAACTGTTTGTGCTCGTAATCAAAAATTCTCAGTAAACTTTATTGTTAATAAGTTAGAATGCTCACAATGATTCAAAAATGTACGTGTAAAATTATTCTGGTATAATGAGGTATCCACCAAGTGTACCATGTTAAACAAGGCAAACTAATGAAGAAACGTGTGTTGATAGGCATTTAACTTGTTATTCAGGTATTATTATTAATAAGATTTAATAGTTATTCTCTGTACCTGAAACTAACACGTGACATTAATCAACTCAGAGTGAAACTTAAGTGGGTCACATTCTAGTTTATGTCAGAAGTGGAGAAAGATACTAAAATTTAAAGCATTTAAGGAAGTGTAAGAGTGTGCTGATACTGTTATTCAAAAAAAACCAAAAACAAAACCGTGAAATCTTCCAGTGACCAGGCTTTCAGGCCAAAAAACCACATATTCTATGGTGATGATAAACTCATGTTATGAATGTTACAATGTCCAACTAACAGTACAGAGGCTATAACAAACATTGGAAAAATAAACTATAAAAATTAGTCGGCAGCCAAATTCAAACACGAGCCACAGGAACAATTAAAAGGACGCTTGCTGATCATCTCGGGAATGATCTAGGACAAATGGAGGCATCAAACAATGTCGCATTATCTCTCTCTCTCTCTTTTAAAAACATAACCTTCTCCCTCACCTTCACTCTGTCGGTGCGGACTTTCACCTTCCACTTCTCCACTCCAGACTGTGCAAGGGGTGAGTCGGCGATGTTTCTCTCCAGACTCATCAACCCACTACCATGCATCAAGGTGAATAAAGATCACACACCCAACTCTCTAATCTCACTTTTTCCCGCCTGTAACTATTCCTCAAAACACACTCTTGACAAATGGTCTCATGCCTTTGA